GTTCAAAAGTTATACTTCATGAAAACATGGTACTGCAGCATTTTTGATAACCAGATTATTGTTTGAGGGGCAATGGGGCAGCATGGCATAATGGGTTTGACATTGAATTTGAAGTCAGGAAGACCTGGTCTTGAATCCCGTTTCAGACATTCACTTGCTGTGTGTCCTTGAGCAAATCATTTCATCTCCCTGAGCCTCAATTTTCTTATCTGTCAAATGTGGATCATAATATCACACTAACTGTCAGGATTGTTACAAGAATCAACCAAGAGAGCAGACATAAGACATTTGGAAAGTATTGAAGCGCTCTCTAAATTAGAGTTATTATTTTCAATTGAGAGAAGTGTTTGTGACAAGTTGGAGGGATAATTTCACTATAGAAGCCTCTCCAGTCACCTCCCTATAGCTCTTAGTACCTAGTGTGCTCTTTGCTACTTGTGGATGTCCCTTCACACTCTTTCTCAGGGTCCAACTTTACTTTATTTCTTGTTCAATTCATAAGATAACAGGACCATAAATCTGGATCTGGAAGGAAACTAAGGGACAGTCGAGACCAATCCCTTCCTATTACATATGAGGAAACTGAGGCTTACAGGATGCTGTATTACTCAGGCTGGTTAACATTGGTAGCAAGTATCCAGTGGGATTTGAACCCGGGGACTCTGATTCCAGAGGCAAAGCCCTTTGTACTCTACCACACCATTTTTAGCCCCTACTCTTTGTGGAGAGAGTGCTGGGCTTGGAATCAAGAAGATTCATCTTCTTGATTACAAATCTGCTCAGACACATGCTGGCTGTGTGATCTTAGTCAAGTCATTTAATTCTGTTTGCCTTAGTTTCCTCATATGTCAAGTGATCTGGGGAAGGAAATGGCAAACCACTGCAGAACCTTTGCCAAGGAAACCCCAAATGAAGTAATGAAGAGTCAGACACAACTGAAAAATGACTAGACTGAACAAAGTGCTAATCCAGTGAGGAACCAGTCATTTTTAAAACTGAAAGAAACTAAGGTAAGGTATGACTTTCATCCACAGCATGGTATACAAATGGATGGCGTTATGGGGAACCAAAGAGCCCAGTTTCTCTTGCAACGGAGTTCCCAGAAAAGGGTATTTTGAACATACCCTCCTCAGAGTACCCAACCTACTCTGCCACTGTGATTGATTCACAGAGAGTAAGAGTCAATGTTCTGTTTCTGAGAAAATTGGCAAGGGAGAAACTTAGATTTAGAAATTAAACAAATAAATAAAAATACTTTCATGGGATAAAAAGAAAAGTGGAGTATCTTAACAAAGAATTAATGAAGAGAAACTGATCATTTTGATATCTCCCTACACACAAAACAAAAAACCATTATGATAGTTGAAAGCAGCTGGTTCCTAGATTGGTGGGGATCTTAATTTAGCTATTGTTAAAAAAATGAAAAGATCATTTCAAAACATTCTATATTCCTATCAGTCCTCTCTCACATTATATTCCCAGAGCGAGACTCCAAACCAGAGTCAACAGATGAGCTAGCGTAATATGACGTGGTGCATCTCTTGTGATTTTCAGATGAAAGATGAGAAGCATATAATAAAATCCAGGACCATTCCAATATAGCCCAGCTGCTCCATAAACACAGATGCCTGACGAGTCAAACAAAAATTACTCTCTGAATACACACCTCAGAAATTGCCACTGTGTCTGAAGAAAGTAACTGGACCAGCCCACAAGGACAAACCATTGGTGTGGAGATCCATCTGAGGGTGGGAAGTGAGGTGCATAAAGCAGGATCTGCTGAGCTTTATGCTAGTGTGAGAGAATCATCGGGTTGGTTAATTATTCTACTTTAGGCTTCTCTCGATAAGTGTTACACTTTTCACTGTTCAATGGAAAAAAAAAAACCACCACACCATGGAGTTAATGAGCTCCATAAAGATTCCTTAATCAGCTTATATGGGGAAAAAGTATTAAAGTCTCCACTTTCACAACATGAAATACAGAGTTTTATGATATATTCGTAGCACAGGAACTCACATCTCCCACCCCTTGAACCACCTGCAAATTTTAATAGTCGTGTATCACCAGGGTACCAGAAACCCATAAAAGTTTAACCTGCCAATTAATAAGAACTTGAGCACTCTAACCTTGTGCCTAATTTTGTTTGTTGCTTCTAAGACTTGGGCGGCAAAATCTCTAGAAAGTCGAGTGGAAACCCACCTGATATTGTACCTCACGGTCAATTTCTCATAAGGGGAGAGGTCGCCAAGAAGCCCAGAGTCAACTAAGCAAGCTCTCACATTATGAAAGGTATAGAGGTTCTGAAAATTCAAAGGTCCAAAAATGACCTAAGAAACTTCTTTCATGATCTCCATGAATTTGTGGAGGTATGTGCTTCCAATGCCATTGGGCAGCTCTGGTGGAAAAGTTCATGCCTCCCTCCCCATGGCACCCAGCCTGGATTTCTGTGGCATTACTTCACATGAGTGAGGTAGCCCTAGTTGACACGGGAATGTGACTCTACAAGAAGGCGCTCTTAAAAGCACCTTTACTGGAGGGCATTCTCCTCACTGATGGGCTAATTTTGATTTTCATTGAAATTCTTGGATAAATATCCAACCTCTTTGCTGGCAGGTCACTTAAGAAATATGAGACTCCATAGTACTTAGCTGAGAACCAACTATCCCGCCATCTCGCTTCCCACTGCACCGGTGAATGCTGTTTATTGCATTCCTAGGGGATGACAAAGTCAAAAGGACCCCTAAGTAGTCCATTACTTTCAAAACTTGGTCTTAAGCCCAACTCAGTCCGTTATATCAGGAATTATTGCCACATTAAGGAATCAATTTTTAAGATCCCACTGAGACAGGAGGAATCTTTACTTTTTCCTTTTCTTTTTGTTTGACTGAAGTGATCCAGCTTCCCTAATGGTAAATTAAAAGACAAATGCCAGAGTTAACGCAGCATTCATCCAGCAATGCAGTCACTTGATCGGCTTCCCCGGGTGCACAGGGAGCCACCAGTCACACATGCCGACCTTGCTTAGGACCAGCCTCTGGCTGGAGATGCTTTGGGCTTTCTGATGACCACGATCTCCAATTAATAATCACATTTTAAGCTGAGAGGCCATCAGGGTGAAGTAGCAAATTATGCCCAGTATAGAAGCAAGAATACGGGTTCTGGAGTCACAAGTCCTAGATTCAAATCTTACCTCTGATACGTCCTACCTGCATGATCATAGACAATCCCTTTTCCCTCCACGGGCTTCAGTTTCCTCATATGTAAAATGAGTGGGGTGTACTAGATGACCTCTGAGCTGCCTCACTTCTAGACCTGGGATCCTATTTAGATCTTAGGTGGAGGGGACTTTTTGCACAATAGTATAAAATAAAATATTTTGTACCTCCAGAAAATCTAGAAAAGGAAGAAGGCAGACCGGTTCTTCAAAAGGCACTAACATGTCTGTGCGCTGCGGGATGGGAGCACATCCTCCAGCAATGCAATGGCCATTGCTGGTTTCCAATTCTCTGGAATCTTTGTTCATGCGCTTGCATGAATCTTCCCCGGGGAACCACCCACCCAGTTCCCAGGGCCCCTTCCTATCACCTTTTCAGCAATAGAAAGCCATGTGGCGCCAATGGGGCCAAAGAGAACAAAGCTTAATTCTAATGTTGAGAGTTAGTCCTTCAGATGTAGAAGACAGCTAGCGTGTCTTCTCCTTAAGTTTTCTCTTAGGAGCCTAACCCCAGTGAGTAATAAAAACAAAATGAATAATAGTAATTTATAGAGTAGTTTGAGGTTTGCAAAGTGTTTTATATATGTTCATTCATTTGACTCTAACAACCTTGGAAGATAGATGCTATTTTTACCCCAATTCTACAGATGAAGAAACTGAGGCTTAAGAGGTCACAAAGCTGGTCAGTCTCTAAGGCAGGATTCTAACCCAAGTGCTCCTGATTCTGAGCTACATACACTGTGGTTGTTTGCCAGTGTTTCTGAAAGCTCTGACCCTTGGTGCAGGAACACAACATCATCCCTGGGATATTTCCTTGAATTTGCCTGGTTAGAGCAGAAGCACTGGTGCCTCCTGGTCCTCAGGACTCACACCATCCTGCCTCACCTTGGCTTCCACTTGGGATAAGCCCAGCATTTACTCCACAGATATCCCAAGGCAGAGAGGAGGAAAGGATCTTTCTTTCCCCTGTGGATATCCCTTTCTTACACCTTGAGGTGAGCTCAGTAAGCCTCACTTCCCTCCTTTAGGCAATGAATTCATGGATCACATCCAAAAGATAAGTCCTTACAATTTCTGACAACAACAAACAACTTCCCATCCCTCAAAGGACAAAAAGAAAAAAGAAAGAAAGAAAAAGAAAAAAGAAAGAAAGAAAAAGAAAGAAAGAAAGAAAGAGAAATACTACAACCCAAACCACTCAATACAAGAGGCCTTAATCTACCCTCAAATAAAGGCCTTCTCAGAAAGTTAACCAGTCAGTTAATTCAGTCAAAAGGTAAGGTTTCTCCAGAAGGAACCTATCTACCAAAAACTTGGGAAGTCGTGGATCTCATCCAAGAAAAAAAGAGTTTTCTCTCTTGTTCACTGCAGTCTTCATTCTGTGACTGCCCTAAGCCCAGCTGCATGCTAAAACTTTGCTGTGATCCTTAAATATTTTCAGGCAGATCACTAGGAACCTAAAGAGGGAAAAGGAACCCTAATATCAACACAGTTCCATGAAAAATTTGTTCCAAAAAACACAGAAGAGACACCTACCAACTCTGGAACATGATGGTATTATGGGACGTACTGGGTATTACTGTGTTGTAGGAAATAGTAAATGTAAGGAATTCAGAGAAACATGAAGATTGACATGAAGGGATTCAAAGCAAAATAGGACAGAACAGCAATATACACAGACACTAGTAACGTGGATGGAAAGGACACTAAAAGAAAACAAAACTAATCTCTGAATAGCCAGGACAGACAATTAAAGTTCTCAAATGCAGTTAACTAAACTCACCTGCCTTGCCTTGACATATAGCACCCCTCCCCGGGGCCGGGGGCGCTGCAGAGACAAAATATTACGTAATCAGTCAAAGTCCTGTTTCTGTTGCTTTTGCTTAGTTGGTTTCCTCTATTATACTTATAAGGGCAAGGAGGCATATTCAGAAATGATTGTAATATTTTTAAAATCACTACGCTATTTTTACTTAAAAAAAAAGAAAATATAGATGTGAGTTATAGGAGACATGGTGTTCATGGTATTCCAGAAATAAGTGATGAATGAATGGAGGAAGGAAATATGACAGAGAGACTCTGGCCATATTCACTATTGCTATCAAGAATGTGTCTTCACTTTTCACTCCTCACAAGTGGTTAAGATAAAGCTCTATTAACAAAGGTCTGTTTGTCCCTCCCAAAGATGTCTTGGATCACATTAATCATGCCAGCTATCAAAATGTTCATGCTTCCTGCTCATTATATCATCCTATGATTAAGTCACCCATCACCTTCACATAACTTCCTTCTGAGATTTCCCCTGGGGACATAGAAAAGGTCATTTAAGAATGCTCTTCCTGAGTACCTCTAGACAAGGGTGAGAAAGGAATCACAGAGTCTCAGAGGTGGGAGGGTCCTCAGATGCCTTCAGACCCATCCCTGAAGGAGCTTCTCCTCTACCACACATCCAAGAGGGAGACAGATAGTCTTTTGGGGAAGACTTTCAATGATGGGAGATACACTGTCGTCTAGGAAGGGTGGCTCATTTCTTAATTGAAAAAAACTCTAATTGTTAGTTTTCTAGTTATCCAGCCTACATTTATCTCTTTCTGTCTTCTACCCTTTGTTTCTGATTCTGCCCTCTGGAGCCATCCCCATAGGACAAGTCCTATATTTAGTTGATATCTACATGGTACCATAAGCTTTTCCTTTGGCCCAACTTTTATCCCAGGATTATCCCAGGATCAGGGATGCTATCCTAGGATTATGGAAAAGAAAGGTGATTGAGAAGGGGAATTTCACTTTCTGTGGGACTGAGGAGACATTCCCTTCCCCCACCCATTCTATGAAGTGCATGTTAGATGAGAAAACCCCAGGCCCCCACTTTTCTATCTAGCTTTCCTCTGGTTCCCCGATGACAGCCTCCCTGCTGACCTAGGGAGGCATTTCTCAGCTCCATGCACAAGTCCAAAGGGAAGGAAATTATTTTTTATTAACCAGCTTCTAAAAACTGAAGCCTGTTATAAAGGCTGCTCATTTCACTCCCAGAGACCAGGGGGCCATGGCCGAGAAGGCCAGCTGCAATCCTTTTATACCAGTAGGTTGCTTTATTAAAATCGAGATGGGGGGAAATTTTTTTAACCCAATCAAATCATCATAAACTGGGCCAGGTATTTATAGTAAATGAAAGGGTTATAGCGCTCCTTCCTCTCCAGGATGTGGCCCTTGGGAAACATGGATTTGGGGGGTTTCCAAAATGCTCCCTTGTAAGGTGCACTGGTACAGCCCTAGTGAGGGTTAAGTTGCATTTTCCATTATAAACCCGTTTGCAGGGTTTATGACTCTCCCATAAAAATCTACTTGGGGATGAAATATGTACAATCCAAGGGGTCTGAGCTCAGCCACAACACCTTCTCTCTCTCTTTTTAAAAAAGTATTCATGAAATGGAACCAAAGTTGTGTGTAGACTCATTTAACTGACACCACTTCTACCAGGGCAGGAATTCTTTACCTTGTTTGTGTCCTGGACCCCCTTGGCAGTCTGTCGAAACCTATGAACCTTTCTCATAATAATGTTTCAGATTCATAAAGTAAAATAATATAATCATGCAGGAAGTCAATTACATTTGAAATACACTTATCGAAATATATGTATTTTTCAAACAAGTTTATGGACCCAGGTTAAGAATGTAACGCAGCCAAAGGGTTACTAGGTGCTAGTTTGGCCTTGCCATGGGATGGCCACAACAAGAATATCGTGAGCCTGGACTGGAAGGCACTGAGCAGGAGGAAATAGCTAGTCACATGTCTCTGTGGCAAAGCCATCACTTCCCCAACTTAAGAGATTGGGAAATGTGACAAGGTCTAAAAAAGATACATGGAGCCAAGCCAAAAGCCACTACCAATGCTTTAGGCTTCAAGGTCAAGTGATTTTCTAGGAACCCAAGATTTCACAATCTCCTATTTCTACCCTGAAAATTGTCTCCTCTCCAACCATAAAGCTGAAAGAGTAGGTCAAAATTGGGAAAAGTTGGGGGTGGAAAGGGAGGAGCTTGGCATCTATTTCTGAAGATGGGTGAGGTCCCATTATCACCAAGATTTCATTTTCTTACAGGAAGCCTTTCCAGAGGCCCCAGCTTTTAGTCTACTCCTGCAGAGATGACTCTACCTATTTAGGGTCATAGGAATATAGATCTAGAACCAGAGAGCACCTCGGAGGTTATCTAGTGCAACCCCGTCATTTTACAGGTGAGCAAATTGAGGAACGGAGGAATTAAGTGTCTTGACCAAGATCCCAGTGATGGATCTGGGATTTGAACTAATCCACTCTTCCTTCCATGGTATTATATTGCTGCTCACTTATCTGTGCACATGTTGTTTCCCATGACACCTCCATATTTGAATTGGAATTTCATTTTCACAAAGTCATAAGGCAAACAATTAAATGGTTGCTAGGCCATTAATGGTGCCATCCTTCCCCGGGGAAGGAGGGTTATAGACCACTGAGAGCCCAGTTTCACTAAAGTACAAAAACACAAGGAGATTCTGGGGGGCTGGCAATCAGGAATTGGATTTGGGGGGCACAGAGTTTCCACAGACAAACTTCTAAGATGTGGAGCAATAATGATGTTGGGGCACTGTTGGAAAGACAGTTCATCCAGAGGGGTTCCTTGATTCTAGAAATGCCAACATTTAAAGTCACACTTGCCATTCCCCCACCAGCAACCAAATGATGGTCCTTAACCATCTGTGTTTTCCACTGGATGATCTCCAACTAATCAACAGCTTTCTTAGAATGTGGCATCTAGAACTGAACATATCACTCCATGCCTTAGGGGCAAGTCAGCACCTACTTTAGGGTAACTGAGCTATCAGGCTTTCATTCACATTCCCCATCTCTACCCCTCAAAGCACTGTCCAGCCTTTAAAGCCCAACTTCACTGGCACCTTCTCTCAGAAGGCTTCTTTAATGCCCATGGTACATAATAACCTCCACCCCTACCTCATTTCCATGGCCTCATACAGTAAGTAGATCATAGCTGTGTACAAATATTTGGAGGCTCATCAGACATTCTGAGAATTGAAAGGGTCCTCAGTGGCCATCTACTCTAAGAAATACACCAAAGAAATCTTCAGGTAGAACATACCTGACAAGTAGGCATCCAGGTTCTGCTGGAAGACTTTAAAGGAAGAGGAACCCATCACATGTCCAGGGAGCCCATTCTACTCTGAGACAGCCCCAGTTATTAGGAAGTTGGTGCTGTTTGCCCTGACATCAAACCTACGTTGGATTCGGACACTTCCCTCTATTGTTCTGACCTCTGAGTCCAAACAGAACAAGGCTAATCCCTCTTCCTCGTGACATCCCTTTACATCTCTGAAGACAGCTATTGTGTCCCCTTTGAGTCATCTTTTCTCCAGGCTAAACATCTTTAGTTCCTTCAAGCTCATATGACATAGACTCAAGGTCTCTTTAGCAGGAAGTTGCCTTCCTCTGGACATTCCCCTATTTATTAATGCCCTTCTTAAACTGTGGTGCCCAGAGTTGAATACAGTCTTCCAATGTGTGCCTCTGATATATTCTGACTGTGGGACTCTGGATGAATCACGTAAACTCTCAGAGCCTAAGGCAACTATCTGTGTTTATAAATTATATATGGCTACCAATCTGCACTGAAGCTTGCTATACCAGGAGTCCCCCCATGCTGACAAAATCGTAGGTCTGAGGGATGGAAAGGGGTCACAGAAGACCTGGGGTGGTATGGTTGATGGAAGGCCAACTTTGAAATCAGGAAGACCTGGGTTTAAGCTCTTCTCTGAAACATGGAGCTAATTCCTCAAGTTCCAAGTCCAGTGATTTTCAGTTGTACCACATATTTTGAAAATGTTGATCAGAGTCAGTATTACTTGTATTTGGGAAGTATTTGGAAAGAAAAAAACAGACTTTGCTAGAATACTCTCTAATGTAGTTTATTTCCCAAGAGACTGGTTGGCTTCTAAATTATTGATGGCTACATTAAAGAAACATTCTGTGTATTGGAAACCTGAAATTGCCACCACAAATTAGACTTCTCAGCAAGTTCAGTTTGTGAATTCAGTTCCCAAAGGTCCCTTTACAGAGAGGAAAGATTTTAGAGAAAGATCTGGAGCTTTTAATGTTGCCCAGACACAGCCACAGACACTCTGATGTTGGTGCAATTCCACCTGTTCTCATTCTTGGGAGTGCCTTTCATTTCTACAATCCTTTAAGGTTGACAAAGTTTCCTCACAACAACCACATGAGACAAGGAATATAGGGACCTCTTATTCCATTTTATGGTTGAGGAAACTGGAGTTCAAAGTGGTCAGAGTGTCTTGTCCACAGTCAAAATCAGTGTTGGGACTACAGGTTGGGTCTTCTGGTTCTAAGATCTAGGCTATTTTCATACCAGCTGTGGTACTCCTTTCCCAACTAATCTGGGATTTCATTGCTACAAGGGACCTGAAGTGCAGAAACTCTTGCAAAGACAAAGATTGGTAACTTATCTGTCATTTCAAGTCTTAGAAAGTTGCCTGGGGTACTAAGAGGCTAAATGACTTGTTCCATGGTCACACAACTCAAGGCCCTTCTCCATCCTGATGGCTTTCCCCTGGATACTCTAGCTTTTCAATACATTTCTTAATAGGTGGTGTCTTGAAGTGTATGTCATTCTCCAGATGTGATCTGGCTGGACTAGAATATAGAGGAAAAATGACCTTCTTCTTCTTGGATGTCATGCCCTTATGAATGCCTAAAGCCAATGATATTAGCTCTTTTGGATTCTTTATTACACTGTTGACTCATGTGGAATTTGTTGTCCACTAAAGCCTCCATGTCTTCTTTTCAGAGGGATTTTTGTCCGCCCGTACCTCCCAATGTTGTATTTATGAAGTTGAGTTTTTGAGCCATGGCATAAACCTTTACATTTATTTCTAGACTAAATCTGTCCCAATGTCCTTTCCTGTCAAAATCTTCTTGAATCCTGTTTTATATAGTGTTTTCTATCTCTCCTGGCTTCATGTAGTCTGCAGACTATAATCATGTCATATGAGACAGGCTGATAAGAAGCCATCTTTAGGAACAAAGGCAAGACCACCCCCACTGCTTAGCTTCCCCTCCACAGGCAACTTGTGATTCTGAAAGATGCCCCCTTCTTAAAGATTGTCAGGCCCCCTGGCAAGAGCTAAGCGACATTATTTAAAGACTTAAGTACACAGAAACCCAACACCCTCATTTTTAATGGAAAGGCAGACTGCTGTTTATTTACATTTTAAAATCTAGCCTAAATTAGCCCTCTTGGAACCTCCAAAGTCCAGATTTAAATTAACAGCCTGTCCTCTATTGTCCATGGGCTAGTTTGAACTTCACCGAAACATGTCTGGGACATTAAAGACAAATAACTTGCATGTGTTCTACTGACTGCTAGTGCCCAGGTGTCAGGCAGGCTCTTCACCGGTCCCCAGACAAGTCACCTCAACAAACTCCTTATGGTCATCAAAAGGCCAGAAGGAATTCTCTTTTAAAAGGGAGAAGCATATATGTATACATTATATATGTATGTACATATATATTGTGTATATATACAAACACACACATATGTATTTTTTCTTCGTGGGGCTCCAGTGGTAGCCACTGCAGTAGATAAGTTCTATCTTAAACCATGATGTGAAATGGGAAACCATGGCATAATCAGATTGTCTGTACTATGGCAATGCCATGCAGTAGCTTCCAAAATAAGAAATGAGAAAGCTCCATATCAATGGCATCACCCTAGGCCACCAGTACCTGTCCCTGGAGATCTGGGGCCCTCCTGTGAGCTCCTCTGCATTAAATCTGAGTCTAAATTCAGCACCAACCTTCAGGACAGTGTCCAGAAGAGGGTCACCAAATGGCTCATAGGTTCCCAGATACAGTTAGAAAAATAATATAACATTAATATAGCTAGCATTTATAGAGCACTTTCAAGTTGTCAAGTACTTTATAAATATTATCTCATTTCATCCTTACATTTCATCCATCTCAATTCTGAGAGGTCACTGCTATTATTTCTCCCATTTTACAGATGAGGAAAATTGAAACAGACTAGAGGTAAGTAACTTGTCCAAGGTCCTACAGCTAAGTGTCTGAGGCTGGAAAGTATCTTAGAGCTCATGTGGTCCAAATCTTGTTTGCTTTTTTTCCTTTTTTTCCTTTTTTTTTTTTTAACAGAAGTGGTAAAAGGGACTAGGGATATTTAGAAGGGAAGACTTGAGGGAAGAGTGGTGTAGAAGGGAAAATTTAAGCAAGATAGGATAGCACCCTCCTGGAATCTAAAGGGTTGTCATGTAGACCAGACATTCCACTTAAGAACTAGCAGTGGATGATCTCCAAAAGTCTCATGATGGAAAATGCTATCCACATCCAGAGAAAGAACTATGGAGTTTGAATGCAAAGTGAAACATACTATTTGCTCTTTTTTTCTCTTCTGTTTTGTTTTGTTTCTTCTTTTTGTGGTTCCTCCTACTGGTTCTAATTCTTCTTTGCAACATGACTAATATGAAAATATGTTTAATAGGAATGTATATGTGGAGCCTATATCAGATTGTATGCTGTCTTGGGGAGGGGGGGGAGAAAATTTAAAACCGAAAAGCTTACAGAAATGATTATTAAAAATAAATTATTTTTTTAAACAGACTTCTCCAAAGTTCTCTTTTGTGCCATTGTCTTTTCCATGAGTGTGTAGAAAACAGTCCAAAAATGAAAACAAAGGGAAGAAGTTTGTGTGACCTCTAAGGACTCTTCCAGGTCAGGAATCCCATCACTGTTCTTCCAACTGTTCCTGATCAGTGCCCATCCTTAAAGAGCAAAAGTTCTTCAAAGAAAAAATGTGTTTTAAGCTACTAATCAATCCACAAGTAACTACTAGGCATCTACTATATATGACACCAACAAGTATAATAAATGCTTAATAATAAAAGCACCTAATGAATCAATCACTAACCAAGTATTTATTGCTCTTCTATTATATGTCAGGTACTATGCTAGGAACTGGTAATACAAAGGCAAAAGTATAATATTCTCTGCCTTCAAAAAGCTTCCATTTTAGTGGGAAAGACAATAGACATGTATACAAATATTCAGAATATACCTAAAATGGGTACATGCTAGGCACTATGCTGGATACTTTGGCTATGAAAAGTAAAAGCATGTCCTACTCACAAGAATTTTACTTTCTAGACTTACATGAACTGATGCTAAGTGAAGTGAGCAGAAACAGGACATTATACAGGGTAACAACAACATTGTGCAATGACCAACTTTGATCGACTTAGCTCTTTTCAGCAATGCAGTCATCTAAGACAACTCTAAAATAGTCATGATAGAAAATGCTATCCACATACAGAGAAAGAATTTTGAAGTCTGAATGCAGATCAAACATACTATTTTCTCTTTTTAATTTTTTTTGTTTTTTCTTTCTTTCTCATGGTTTTTCTCTTTTACTCTGATTCTTATTTCACAACATGACTAAAGTGGAAATATGTCTATTACTATTGTACATGTAAAGCCTATATCAGATTGCATGTCATCTTGGGAAGGTGGAATTGGAGAGAGAGGGGAAAATTTAGAACTCAAAATCTAATAAAAGTGAATATTGAAAACTGAAAATAAATAAATGAACTAGCAGTGAGTAGAAGTAAAAAAACAGGCACATTTAGGCTAAATGCCAAGAACATCTTCATAAGACCAATCAAATTAGGCTCCCTCAGGATGGAGCATGTCCTTTCTTCTTTAATGGAAGTCTGCATACACTTGGCCAAGATGTTGGACAGGGATTCTTTGGACAGGGGGTGAGATTTAGATCAATGGTCCCTGAGGTTCCTTCCAACTCTGAAATTCTCTGATTTATCTCCCATACCCATATCCCTTAGATGTCATAAGCTTTATGTAAAATCAGCTTTTTGAAGGTATAAATTTTATGTAAAATCAACTTTATAAAATGTTGCCCACATGTATTGTTTCCTCCTTCAGTTATAAGCTTCTCGATGACAAGAACTGTCTATGCTTTTGTATTCGTACCCCTAGCATTTTGCACAGTACTTGGAGCAAAGGAAGCCCTAATCTAGGCCTTTTAAGTCATTCGTTCAACATCCTGTGTTTCATAGGCCAACAGGACCACAGTGTCTGAACAAAGGCCTCTTTAACTGTTCTTGTCCATCTGGAGGGTCTTTGCCTATAT